TTTTTTTTTTTTTTTTATGAATACAGTTAAAAAAAACTGTAAGCTAGAAGAAAAATTGCATTACCTATGAATATTATTGAATGTTGTAACAAGCACGATAATTTGGATATTTTATGTAATTTTTCATATTATGTGTTCTATGCATTTTTGCATCTTGAAATTTTCTTAAATGTATGAAAATTTACAGTCTACTGATTGTCACACTTCATTCAGTAATGAAACGTTGTCGTAAACGCAGTACTCAGTATTCGGACAATTAAGTTAAATACAGGATATTTAATAAACAATTAGATAATTATTAATGGCGAGTGATAACATGACATCATCGCAAAAGATGTACATTAATATCAGATCTAAACTTTCGTTCAACAGACGTAGATTCATAAAATTTCCTCCCTTATGGAGTTAAATAAAAATTTTTGTAACTCAAACGCATAATAATAAGTTTATCAATTTTTGCAGTGATTCGACAATTATCGTGTGAATCGTAATAATTCATAAATCGATTAAACTACGCCATAATTTCAATAAATGCGATAAATAATATACAATAAATAGAAAAAAAAATACACGCGCAGCTTAATGTCTGATTCATGACAGGGCACTACTACTGATTCTACGTAATAACAGAAATAATATCGCGGACAATAATTTTTTTTACGACAATAATATTCTAACCCTAATATTCTTACGCTTCTTCGTAGAAACGGCGAGAAGAATGCGAGAGAAAGGCGCGACGAGGGGAGATGGATCCCCGTCTGGAATTTGCTTTCCAGCTCTTAATGGACGCTACGCAATTGTCCCGGCACGAGGTCATGGATCACGTTTTCGAAGGCGACATGCTCGACGAAATCAATCAAATGTTTCTGCCTCATATGAGATCCACCCTCGTCTGGTATTATCAGGAAGCGGAGGAGTCTGAAACTCTGCGTCCCACAGAAATGGTCAAATCTTTATTTAATCTTTACTTTCAAAAGAGAGGGAAAAGAAACGGAAACTTTTGCATTTCCATATCTTTCAGATGTTTAGAAATTCAGTGTGGAATTTTATTTTTTTGCAGATGCAAATGAAAACCTCGTCGTCCAGACCAGGTCCGAACACGTCGGTGCCAAAAGTGAAGGAACAAAAGGAAGTGAAGGAACCAGGCAAAAAGAAGTTGTTTCTCACCGATGGATGGCAAGTTCCTTGCACTGGAATATGCATTTACATGTTCAGGTATAAACATAATACAAGATATTTACATTTGCACTTGAGTGATGCAAGCGTGAAACTTTCATTAGATTAAATGTCTCGAAACAATTACCCGAGGAAGGTTTCCAAAAAGATCTTTATACGGGTGTGATAGACACAATGAAGGTGGGAATAATAACAGCGATACAGAGAGTGGTAGAGTATGTTTTCATGGATGCTCTTGCTCACTCTGGCTCTGAAGGAGAGGATGATTGCCCGATGATTAAGAGCCTTCTGTTGCCTGGTTTAAGATCTTTTTGCAGTGCTCTAAAAGGTGACAAGTATAAACATACAAGTGAATGACATGCACATTGATTTTTAATTCTTACAGTAGAAAAATAACTATGTAAAAAAGAGTACTTCCTATATTTCTACAGTGTGTGAACAAGTAGCTCACGAAGGGCATATATTCGACGACGACGAAGCTCTAATGAACGAAGTGCGCAATTTCGAGGAAGCGAAAGCGTTTGTAGCCAAAGAAAATGCCGTGAACATCGTGGAAGAGAGAGTAAAAACGTGGATCAAGAGATTGAAAGACTTCATGGTGGAGAGCAAACAGGTGAAGCGAGAAAATGATAATTCCGGCCCTCAACAAGAATTGGAATACTGGAAACGAAGAGGGGCTCAATTCAGCCAACTAGTCAACAAGCTTCAGGTTTCACTTGCACTTCCCACGTCGCATTTTCATCAAACGCAACAGCCAAATATTCATTTATACCATGCTTACGTACAAATATTCAGGATCACGAAATACGAATGTCGCTGCTTTGCTTGCAAGTTGCACGCTCGAAGTTGATAAAAGATTGGGTTGACGCGGAGGATGAAGTCACTTATTGTTACAACGAAGCTAAAGATAACGCTAAATTTATACAGGCGTTGGAAAAATGCTGTCACTGTCTATATTTGGATGATCCAGTAAGATAACGTATTATCGTTACACGTATACATAGAATATAATTATATTACGATATAATTAAAATATAATTATATTATAATATAAATTGCTCGATTGATATATTTCTCAGGTGAAGATGAGAGATTCTCTTGTGTCGCTGTTGCAAACAGTTCGTTTAATATACAGCGTCTCGAGATACTACAACACCTCAGAACGAACTAGTTCGTTAATGATCAAGATCACGAACCAAATGATCGTTGCTTGTCGAGATTATGTCACGAACAGGGGTCGAGAAACCGCCTGGGGTCAAGATCGTGCGGTTGCACGATCGAAGTTAAAGCACTGTTTAAAACTGAACAAGTAATATCTGAACTTCGATATGAAAAAGAAATTGATATGTCCAGAAACTTTGATATGTGTAGAAACTTTTTACTTACTGATTTAGCGTTTCTTCTTTATATATATAGTACCAATAATTTCCAGGGTTTACAGAGAAACTTACAGATTGGTTCGATGTTCTCCAGCTGTAACCGAGCAGGAGTTCTCGTTTTCAGAGACCCACGTGTTCGGAAGGTTCGATTCATTTTGCGACAGAATAAGAAAGATTTTGACTATGTTCGAATTGATACAGGATTACAAAAGCCTTTTCGAAAGAAGGATGGAGGGCCTGTTGTTGGGAGAAGGTAAAATATAATTTTAATAATTTTATTTTTAATTTATAGGTGTGGCGAGTATAATTCCTTTCATTCTTTTTGTCTCAACAGCATTGGACGATGCTATAAGAACTTTCGACGAGGCTGAGAAAATTGCTACCACTAAGGGTTACGATTATCTGGACCCGAGGAATAGCGAATTTGACACGGATTACAACGACTTCATGACAAAAACCAATACCCTGAAACAGAACATCGGTAGTATCATTGAAAAAAATTACGCGGACGTTTGGGAAACTCTTCAGGGTATACGATTTTTAACTCGATTCGAAAAAGTGAAGTGATGCATTATTGTCGACTAACAACGCACGAGAGTTTTACACAATTATCACGATTAATTAACACTTTTATTGCATGCAAATCTAATTATAAATTAACTTGTACCTGAGCTAACTTCAAAGTCATTCATTTCTTAAGTTTATTAATTCCTTGATATCTTAATTTCCAGATCTTTTAAGCGTTTAATATTTTAATTAATTTGTTTGCTCCGAAGGTCAGTGAAAAAATACCGCTAACGAAACTAGATGAAAAATACAATATAGTAGTAAAATATTGTGACAAAGAGGTGGACAGAATATTGAAATTATTCAAAAGACATAGAGATGACCCTCCATTGCCGAGACACATGCCTGCTATCGCTGGAAGATTAACCTGGGCAAATTCGTTGAAGTAAATTATGAAAGACTTGTTTTTTATTATCTAATTTTTTTTATTTTTATTCTTTTTTTCCTATCGCTGATTCAAATCATTTTCTATTCAGAGTACACTTGGACGAATTGGCTACATCGGTCTCTAATCATCCAGTGCTCAAAAATCTTCCACTGACCATGGAATTAGAAAAAAGATACAATTACGCTCTCAGCGTTTTGAGTCAGTACAAGTCAGATATTGCTGAAGTCTGGACTCATCAAAACTCCTGGGTCATCGAAGACTGTTTAAAACGGTATGTGAATCCCTCACAAGAGAGAAACCAAACTAATTAATTCTATTTTAATCCTGTTAACTCTTCCCCGTTGTTTAACAGATCAATTAGTTCCCTTTCAATAATTTCCAATCCAATTCAAATAAATAAATATCGTATATTATTTGATTGATCCAGGCCTTTGCTGACGGTGGACGAGAAGACAGGAAAAATCAAGGTCAATTTAGGAGGCCGTATCACCCTTTTGCTTCGAGAAGCTGATTGCTTGGCTAAATTGAACCTTGAAATACCTATCGTCGCATTGACAATCCTGGCAAAGAAAGATTACTTTACATTGGTGACAGACTCTCTTCAACTGATGATCGAAGAGTTCGTGTTCACGGCAAGACGTGTGAAACTGGAAGTGAGACCATTGTTATTACCGCATTTGGTGCGTGTTGCAGCCTTGCTGGAACCTGGTTTGACTTCTTTGACTTGGACCAATCCAGAGTGGAGAGAATTTTATCAGAACACGAAAGAGCAGATCAAGGAGTTTGATATTCTTATTACAAGGGTTCACGATGTCTATGACAATAGGTATACTTATGTTTGAACGTTCTATGAATCATATTTTTCTAATTTTGTGAGATATTTTTTTTTAGGACAGGCATATTTTATATCACTTATTTATTTTATATCACTTATTTGTTTCAGTTTTGCTTGCTCGTCTGTAAATTTTTTTATACACACATATGTATAATTTAAATGTATAAAAATTCCGAATTTAATTTCATATATACATACAATAATTAAATTAGAAATCTTTATATATTTAAATTTAAAAATGTACATTAAGTCTAGTTAAAATGAAACAAATCTAAATTTCGACAAAATCTCACAGTTTCTAATAATCATTGTACTAACATTGAAATTAATTTTTAAATGATATG